TGACCAAGGATTGAACTTGGGCCCCAGAAGTGAAACCTCTGAGTCCTAACCACTGGACCACCAGGGAATTCCCCTCACCTTATTTTAAAGATGTTCATTTTCCTGAATGTTTATAACCCAAATGATTTGATTTTAGAGGAGAAAGTCCTCAGGGAGAAAAATAATCATTTAAAAACCTTTGAATCTCAAAAAAATGTCTTCCTTTATACTCCTTCTAGCTCCCCCTTGACTGTCATTTTCTTTGATGCAAAATTGCTGGAGAGAAATGTCTCCCCTTGCTGTGCCCCTTGCGCACTGCTCATTCTCTCTAAACTCTACAATCTGCTTTCTCCTCCCACATCTCAACTGTCACTGCTCCTGCAAGTCACAAAGACCCCCACTTGGTAGGTCCCGCCTGTCCTGCGAGCCCTCTGTCCTTTTCCTCTCTCCCAAAGTGTCCCTGTGACCCTCCTCATCTTTTTCTGTCTCTTTGGGTGCCCTCTTTTCCTTTTTCTTGTCCCTGAAGTGTGGTCATTCCTGATCAGGGGTCCCAGGCTCCCTTCTGTTCACGCTGTCACCAGGAGGGCATCCTCACCAGAAAGTCTCGTCTCTCCCACGCGTTAGCAGGTTTCCAGACCCTGCTCAGATTTCCTTACTCAAAGAAGCAAATACTGACTGTTCTTTCCGTCATGGATGCAGGCCGCGCTGCCAGGCATCTCATGTCTATTTATGGGAGCTCATCCTCTTCCCTCCATATCCTCCTCCGCCTGTGTTACCATTTCTCCAAGTGGCTCCCTCCAGTTTCCTAAGCTCCCAAGCTGACAACGCGAGTGTCACCTTTACTGAAGACTGTTCTTACTTCTTCACGAAGAATTGATGCCTCCAATCTATGGTATCTCCTAACTGTGTCTCAAAAGGTCCCTTTTCCTCTATTTTCAGATCTATATCCCCTGATCTATACCCCTTGACCAACTGCCCCCTTCAATTAATTCCTCCCATTGTCTTCTAACTGTGTGCCATTGCATTTAGGCAGAGCAGTGTTGAACTGTGTGAAGAAAGCCCTGGGTCTGAGGAAGTGGGAGCATTGCATCCAAGCAGACTCAACGTTAACCATTTTACTGGTGATCATGACTTTACAGAGCTTCACACACAGATCACGGAGGTTCAAGGAGCGCAAGGAAGCTCCCCAGGATCAGCTGGGTTTAGAGTCCAAACATCCTGAATCTCCTGTTTATTACACCTTTGCTGGGGACCACCAGCCTCAGCCTGGACGTCGACCTTCTTGACGTTGCAGTACCTCACTTAGACCACCAGAGGACCCCATGGATCACACAAATCTGGTCTTAAAACTTGCTGAGTGGGAGGGACCATCGCTTTGACAACATCTCAGTAATGTTTCAAACGGGGAAGTTAGGAGAAATACGGGATTTCATTGATTGGAGTTAGTTCATAGTGCCTTTAGGGTGATAGAAAGCGTGATCAGAGTTTATAAACTGCATGAGAAGTCAGTGGTCTTAGCTTTGCAGCCCACGAGTCTCTGCTGTTACTCTTAAAACAGTTTGCTGTGGCCTTATCTGGGGACACAGGGGGCTTAACAAGCTGCAGTTAATCCATTCTGGACTTAGAGAGTACCTGTTGGTTATGGCATATCTTTTTGGCAAGTCCTAGTACAGTTTTCTTTGCAAATTGTGATTTTATTTCTATTGCTTATTGGGATTGACAACTTTGCCCAGAAAGAGGATGCTCTGGTTGTCCTGGAAGTTGGTGACCATCAGGAAGGGACTGTTGAAATGCAAAATGGTGGATTAGGTGCTCCTGGCAGAGAAATGAATCTTGATGCCCATGGTGGCAGCTGCTTCAGTGCACTCCTCAGTCATCTAAACCACAGCCCTTATGCAGCACCATGGGGCCAATAGGACTTCATACACTTAGATACAAGAGCAAGTGTCTGGTTTGGCTGCGAGGGTAGGCAGTGGGGTGGGTCTGTGGAATCCATCCTTTGAGATGTGTGGCCTGTGAGTTACAGTCCATAGGGTCGAAAAGGGTCGAACATGACTTACCAACAGAACAACTATAACAACAAAAGCAGCAGTAGTAACAGTAATCGTTGTTAACCGTTGGTCTTTCAGAGAAGATGCTCTCTGTCATTTAAGGGCAGTGGTAGTTCACAATGTCAGGTCATTTGGCCAAGACTGTGTTACTATTACATGTCAAACCAAGATTTCAGCTGAAGCCTGCTGATCCCAAAGTCACCATGGATAACTGCAGGCAGGGGGAAATACAGCCATATACAAGTCATCCTGTGTATTCAAGCTCAAGGTACCATTGCCTATTCAAACTCAAAGTGCCATCTTGTTTCCAGATTACTCTATCTTTCCCCATTAGACTCCCCTATCATCCCTCCTGATTTCCCCAGTCTGAAACATAAAATCCCATCATTTGAAAAACTCTCTGGTCATTAGTTTCAACTGAATTATTTCTCCTTTGTGCTGGTCACTCATACTTCCTCCATCCCTGTAATCAGGGGGAACTGTGACTTCCAGAGCATCCTCTGCCCTCTTTATGTCCGTGTCTGCACTGCTGAGATACTGGAAACCACATCCCTACACAGGTCAATGACCTGACCTGTGAGAGTTGGACATAAAGAAGGAGAAATACTGAAGAATTGATTATTTTGAACTGTGGAGCTGGAGAAAACTCCCACTCCTGCCTGCTAGAACTTTGAGGTTTCCTGATGTCTCCTTGTCTCCCTGTCCCAGACTTCTGGTCCATTTGCCTCTCCAGGAAGGATTCAGTAAGTAGATAACATCTCTCTGTAGCACACGGAAAGCAGGAGTCATTTGAGGGGAGCTCCTTCACCTTCTGGCCACGTGATTAGAGCCACATGCTCACCCTCTTGTCCTCTCTCTAGGATGGAAGGTGTGCCATGCCTCTGGGCAAAGAGCTCCTCTCTCATGCTTGGCATCCCATCCATCCCCCCCTCATCACCTCTGATTAACTTCTTCCATCTTCTATGGGATCACTCGTCTGGAGCCGAATATCCTGGAGTGTGAAGTCAAGTGGGCCTGAGGAAGCATTGCTATGAACAAAGTTAGAGGGGGTGACAGAATTCCAGTTGAGCTATTTGAAATCCTAAAAGTCGATGCTGTTAAAGTGCTGCACTCAATATGTCAGCAAATTTGGAAAACTCAGCAGTGGCCACAAGACTGGAAAAAGTCAGTTTTCATTCCAACCCCAAAGAAAGGCCATGCCAAAGAAGGTTCAAACTGCTGTACAGTTTCGGTCATTTCACATGTCAGTAAGGTTATGCTCAAAAACCTTCAAGCTAGGCTTCAGCTGTAAGTGAACTGAGACCTTCCATATATACAGGCTGCTTTTAGTAAGAACAGAGGAACAGAGATCCAATTGCCAATACTCGTTGGATCATGGAGAAAGCAGGGGAATTCCAGGAAAGCCTCTAATTCTGCTTCACTGACTATGCGAAAGCCTTTGACTATATTGTTGCTATTGTTGTTCAGTCACTCAGTCATGTTTGCCTCTTTGCGACCCCATGGACTGCAGCACGCTAGGCTTCCCTGTCCTTCACTGTTTCCCGAAGTTTTCTCAAACTCACGTCCATTGAGTCGGTGATGCCATTTAACCATTGCATCCTCTGTCGCCCACTTCTCCTCCCGCCTTCAATCTTTCCCAGCATCAGGGTCTTTTCCAATGAGTCAGTTCTTCACATCAAGTGGCCAAAGTATTGGAGCTTCAGAATCAGCCCTTCCAATGAATAGTCAGGGTTGATTTCCTTTAGGATTGACTGGTTTGATCTCCTTGCAGTCCAGAGGACTCTTAAGAGTTTTCTCCAGCCCCACAGTTTGAAATAGTCAATTCTTCAGTATTTCTCCTTCTTTATGTCCAACTCTCACATACACACACGACTCCTGGAGAAACCACAGCTTTGCCTACACAGACCTTTCTTGGTAAAGTGATGTCTCTTTCCCGACCTGATACTATCCCACTCATTTTTTTTTTTTTTTTTTCCTCGCTTGCTGGGAACACTCTCCACTCCATTTACCCTCAACCTTCTACTTTTTCTCTACTGGCAGAATCGAGATCCCTTCCTCCAGGAAGCCTTCCCTGACTTCTCCCTGAGTTTGGTTCTCCCCTTTCAGCCTTCTTTGTTCATCACCCACCTTCCCCATTATATCCTAAGTTCCATGAGGACCATAGCTGAAAAATCTTTATGGGCAAAATGGCTTTGTGGTTTAGAGTGTTCCTCTGACATCCATCTGGTTAGCATAACATCCTACCTGCAATAATCTCTAGCAGTATGTCCTTTAGGGAATTACAGAGGCTCCCTGTTCCTCTATTTCCTTATTGGTAAAACAGGACGAGGAACAGCAAGTATCTCGTGTGATCAGCTCAAGGACTAAATAGGTGATTTCAGGTAGAGATCTGAGCAGGCTGCCTGGCAGAGAGACCTCAACCCGTCATTTGCGAATGATGTCATTATTGCCCGGAGCTGTTCTCCCCGGAGATCACAGAGCCCCTGATCACAGCAAGGGGAGGCAGGGCTGGGTGTTGCTCTTACTGCATGTGTGTGTTTACTGCTATTTCACTCCCAGGACATCTCTTCTGCCTGCTGATGGGGATCCTCTGTCAGGGGAAGAGGTGGAACTGGTCAGGAGGTGGAGGAGCTCAGCTGGGAACCTGGAAGTAGCTGGTCTCCCAGGTTGGGGTGCTGGGGGGCAGAGCGGTGATCCTGGGCCGAGGAAGGCCCAGCTCAGCTGCAGGAAGGAGGGGTGCTCCAGGGGCTGTGCCAGAAGAGGTCAGGGTTGGAGCCCCCTGCAAGTGAGCACGAGGGGACATCCCAGGTCCTGGGGAGGGAGGCGTGAACCTGGACCTGGAATCAGAGCCCCTGGAAGTGGGCTTTGGGCAGCCAGGTCTCTCCCAGCCCTGGGCCTGCGGTCCAGTAGGCTTGGTCACAGGCCCAAAACTGGCTCTTGGGCCGGCTGGTGAGGCTGAAGCAGAGGGTCTCAGAAGTAGGGTGGGCCTAGTGTGTGTAGGATGTCAGAGGGGCTTGTCCCTGGGGCCCGGCAGCAGCAGGGCGTGGAGTCAGGCAGATCAGGGCGGAGACACACAGGAAAGAGTCCAGTCTGAAGAAGGGGCTTTACTGCTGGTGTCGGGCTCAGCGCCTCCTCCTGAGCAGGGCACAGGGTCCTGGGCACAGGGCCCCCGGCTTTGTCACTGTCACCTTCCCAAGGGTGAGCGGGTGGAGTTAGATAGGGGGATGCTCCTTGGTGCACCGAGGTCAGGCTGCTCCGAGGGACCAGGGCACCCTGCTCCTTCTTCAGTGGACCCACCATTCCGAGGGGAGCTCTAGGCTTGACTGGGGTTGGTGACTTTCCCCAGAAAGATGATGCTCTGGGTGTCTTTGAGAACTATGGCGATCAGGAAGGGCCTGTTGAAGCTCAAGGGGATCTCGTTTATGGACGTGATTCCCACCTTGATTCCTGTGGAGGCAGCTCCTTCCGTGCCCTCCTCGCCCACGTCGAGCACGGCCTTGTGGACCACCTGTGGGGACGCGGGAACATTACCCACTGGAGACGGGGAGGCAGGGTGTGAGCAGGGGCCCGAGCGCCTGTGAGGCTGACACGCATCCACCTGCTCCTGGTCCGTCACTGCGCTGTCAACCTGTTCAGTTTGTCCTCCCATCAGCCTGTCAGCTGGTTTGCCGTCGTGATGCCCAGGTGTGCAAAGTGAGGTTATCAGTGATGGGTTAGAGAGGCACAGAGCCTGGACTCCCTGATTCTGGAACCCTCTCTGAGTCCCGAGACTCCCAAATTCCCCCTAGTGTAGGGGCGGGGGCCAAGTCAAGGCATTTTTTTTTTTTTTCCTTACAGGGAACTGTCACAGTCCTCCAGGCCCAAGCAGCAGATTTGGGTGGAAACAACTCTCCTCCTTTCCTGTCCCAGCTGACATGTCCCTGAGGCCTTGGCTACTTTGCCTAGGGCGTGATTCCCCACCCCTGAAGCCCTCTGGTCTCTTAGCACCTGTGTCTGCTTCACCAGGTCCTCGGGCAGGTGGGGTGCTGGGGATGCTGCAGGGCTGTCTAGCACCCGCCCCCCTCATTCACTCTGACTTCTGTGCTCCTCAGATCGCAGTGCCAGGACCCCCGGAGTTCTCCTCTCCTGCTCTGAGTGTGTATTCACCACGATGGCCCTGAGCCACTGTTAGCACCTATTACTTCTTACCTGTTCTGCTAGACTCTGCATAAGTCTGTTCTGGATAAGAACTGTCACCTCCTTTTACAGGTAAAAAAACAACAACACAAAACAAAACTGAGGACTGTAGGATTTGTCTCTGTGAGTGAAAAGTAGAGCTTGGGATGGGGTCCACGGCTGACATCACCCCAGGTCCTTCCCAGGGATGGAATCCTGGTCACTTATTTCAGGGAATGTGGGGACAATCCCCAGTATGATGGTAACCCAGCTCTCCTAGGCTTGGGGAGTCCTGGGAAGGGCTACTGAATTATAGAAATTTAAGGAATTTCTAAATTTGAAATTAGCCAAGCATCTGCCTGTCTGTCCCCATTCAAGCTCGTAGAAGAAGGCTGAATTGTTCAAAATTCGGACTCACCTGGGAAACCTCTAGCTTGTGGTCATCTGTGATTCCTGACAGGTCTGCCTCCTGGGTGAAGACTTTCTTAATTTCCAGCTGGGAAAGTATGTCTTCCAGCTTATCGTAGTCACTGGAGATGGAAAACCTTGGCAGGTTGAGTTCATGTATCCGTCTAGGAAATATGAAAAATGAACTCATGCTTGACTCAGTGTCCACCTTCTTCCCAACTCACAGCTTGATCTTCTGTGGTTTACTCTCCAACCACCACCTTACCCCTGGGGGTGGAAAAGTACTCCTTTCCTCAAGTTTCTAGACCCATCTGGCTAACTCTTTCTAATTCTTTAATGATCCTTTCCTTTCTGCAGGAGTCTAACCTAGGGACAGTACACAGAGGTTGGGACCTGGCCCTGCTCCTCCCCTGCAGGCCTGCAAGGCACAAGAAACACCCGCCTCCAGCGTGGATTCCACAGCTGCTGGGAGATTGTGCCAGGGAGGCTGCTCCACAGGCACCAGAAGGCTTTCTGCAGGAGGTGGCATGGAGCCTGAGTTCCAGGGGAAGGGATGGATCTGACTGGGTGAAGAGGAGCTTACGAGGAGGTGGATACACTTGCAGGAGTGTGGGAAGCCAGAGGGGCTGCTCCATAGCACAAGGGTGGCCTGAGTGTGGGCGGCAGGGAAGGAAGGAGCTGAAAGGGGCTTGGAGGGGACATGGAGGGCTGGGGGCTGCAGTCAAGGGACTTGGGGGCCTGAATCATCCTATTCAGAGTCTCTGTCTTGCCTTCCCTATGAGTTCCACTGGGGTAGGGCTTTAGCTTCTGAGCAGAGCCACCAGCAGGTTCTTGGAGCAGGAGATGCTGTCTCCCACCCCGAAGCTTCCCTCCCTCTCTCTCTGTCTGTATTTCCCTTAAGACTCTTATCAGGGTGTCTGGTCTTAAAAATGCCAAATACGAGGAGGCTGAGACTCCCCTCAAACTCTGGGTCATTTTGGAATACAGGGGTAATGATTCTCCTCATTGTCATTCTTCATTTATTCATTCATCCTTTATCCATTTATTCAATAAGATATTACCGAACATCCTCCATGGGCCAGGAGTGTGTAGGTCCATGTCCCCTCAGGGCTTGTAAATCAAGGTGTCTGGTGGATATCCCCTCCATTTACCACTATTCACTGCACCCCTGCCCTGTGGTAGCTGTTGGGGTTGGAGGGGGAGGGGTTGGGAAGGAGCACAACCAGGGGGAGGGGGTCCCGTGTCCTGGGGTCTCCTGGGATCTGCAGGGAGGAGGGGCTGGGAGTCAGGAGCCCCAAGGCCTCAGGTGCCCTGGACAGGAGTCGGGAAGGGGCTGCAGCCTCTAGGTCACGTGCAGGCAGGTCTCCAGTCCCTGTGGTTTATAAAGTGCCTCCCACACCCATCCCTCATGGGTCTGCAGATCCTCCACTCAGAACAGAGGGTCAAGGACATCCCTCCCCTCTCAGCAGGGAGCTGAGCCCCAGAGAAGCACAGAGGGTGGCCGGGGGAATGTGAGCCTGGGAGCGGGACTCTGGGTGGGGGGCACCCCGCCCCCCCATGCTGCCCACACCCCCTCCTAGCCCCCCCACTGCAGACCCTGGGTGCAGCCCTGCCTCTCCCTCTCCTGTCCCCCTGAGATCGGTCTCCTGAAGCCCACCTCCTGGCCTGTGTGTCTACCCTCGGTTTACCCAGAGCCCGACCCCTCCCCACACTTCCTGCTCCTCCTGGTCCAGCCCCCAGCGACTCCTCTGGGTGAGCCCACTGGGCTCCCGGCTGGCCTCCCTGCCTCCCTGCTTGTCCCGTGCAGGCAGTTCTTCACTAGGCGCCCCGGACTATCCTTTTAAAACACAGACTCAGCTGCTCAGGGTGGCGCCATGGAGAGAATGTGCATGAGTGTTGGGGGCTGTGTTGAGGGTCCTCATGACTCAGCACATGCTAGAGGCAGAGGAAACCTCAGCCACTGTCCCCTCTGAGGTCATCATCTTGTAGAAGGAGAAATTAATTCAAACCCAGAGCCACACAGGCAGCAAAGAGCAAGGTCATCCTAGGATGGGTTCTCCCAGCAGTTCCCACACTCCTGGACATTCCTGAGGCCCTGTTGCTGGGGGTCAGGAGTCCAGGAAGAGGGGGAAGAACTGAGAAGGCAGGTGGGCCCACAGCCCTGGGTCCTGGGGACAGTCACCTGGGGTACAGTGATTCTCGCCACCTCGTCAGCGTCTCCGGGATCAGCTTGGCTTCCAGCTCCTGCATTTTGCCCTCGTCGGGGAGGATGAAGAGGGCGCTGTCATTGCTGGTGTATGTGAGCGCCACCAGCGTGCAGCCCAGCTCCTCGTCCCGAAAGTAAGGGGTCACTAGGCCCCCAGTACTCATCATGGGCACCTCCACCCTCTTGTTCTCGCTCAAGTGGAAATATGACTTGTAAGTCTGTTTGGGATCAAAGGGCGTCCTCCACTGGGCTAGAGACAGAGGGACAGGTGAGGCGTCTGTGGGTGCAAAGTCTGTGCCCTCTCCCTCCCCCACCCCCTGGTCCTTGAGAGGGAAGACCCTCCCCAGAGCAGCAGCCCCCATTCCACGTGCCTCTAGGGATGGCTCTGCCGGGTGTGCACACACACCTGGGAAGGAAGGTAAGCACTGGGGATGGAAGTGAACACAGATCAGGACGGAAAGAGGAACACAAAGCAAAGCTGGTTAATTGTTCTCCATGAGCAATCAACAGGAATGTGGAGGGCATGGGAGAGACAGAGGTGAGGCTGGGCCTGGGGAGAAATGGGACCTCCTGGTCCTTCAAGGGAACAAGTGACCAGGGCTTAGTCGTTCGCTTTTCAGGGTGGACACACCTCCCTGCAACCTTGTGAGCTTGGCTAGAGCAGGAGCCACACGGGGACCCGGAGGGCAGGGCAGGGTCAGCAGAGGAGAGGACTCGGGTCTCCACCCAGGAGGATGGATCCTCGCGGAGGCAGGGGCATCTAGGGGACTTCAGGGCTCTGGACTTCATGGGGTGAGTATCCACCCCCACCTCCTGCTTTGTTTCCACCTCTGCTTCCGTCCTCATGGTGAGAGGCAGGGGCAGAGGGAAATTAGGGCTGGCTGGGGTGTCCCTGGGAAGGAGATTTTGGAGGAAAAAGTCTCAGGATGGGATGCTAGGAGAAGAAAGCACAGGAGATACAAAGAACAATCCAGGGAAAATCAGCCCTGAATTCATATTTTAGAGCAATTCAGTTCTCGGCCTTCATTTACAGATGAAAACAGTGGCCCCAGAGGGCCATTCTGGGCTCTGCCAGGAACTCCTAGCTCAGGGCAACTTTGTGCTCCACATCTGGTGGGTCTTAGACACCTGACCACTTCTGACTCAGTGATCCTTTCTGGGTCCCTATTTGCACAGTTGGCTCCCTGTGCAAAATCCATCTGCCTCTACTCAGCCCCTTGTGAATATCCAGCTGGGGTTTGCCATGCTGACCTCCTGACACTGGGACCGGGTGTCAGACCAGCTCGAAGCTGGGAGAGGAGCCTGTCTAGGGGGCTCCCTTCTGCAGAGGCTGCTCCCGGATGGTGGCCTGGCCTGTTCCACCCTCAGCTGATAGAGGAGCACGAATGAAGACCCTGGGGATGCGCAGGCTCCTCAGAGTCTGTCTCACCGTGAAGACCACCGGCCTCACCGGGAGCCTCCAGAGACCAAGTCCCCCAGCAGGTCAGAACCAGCCCATGGTGGGCACAGCTGAGGGTTCCCGCGCGCTCCACCACCACCTCATCAGGAAGGACACACGCACGAGTGATGGGAATGGGAAGATCCTTCCTCTAGCAGCCGGGTAAGAGTAAGTCAAAACAAAACTCTCCCTCTGCATCAGACAAAGGGTTAGCAGCTTCCCTGCACTAATGTCCTGTAATGAGTGTTGGAGTTTGGAAAATCCCCACACACACAAAGCCTATGGTTGGGGCAGGGTCTTGGTGCCCCAGCATCCTGAACTGAGGGTTCATGTGCAGTCACTAAGTCCTGTCTGACTCTGTGACCCCATGGACTCTAGCCCACCATGCTCTTCTGGTCACGGGATTTTCCAGGTGAGAATACTGGAGTGGGTTGCCATTTCCTTCTCCTGGGAATTTTCCCAACCTGGGAATCGATCTCATGTCTCCTGCATTGTCAGGCAGGTTCTTTACCACTGAGCCACCAGGAAGTCCACCCCTATATAGTATTTTGCCTAACAACATAGTTGGCTGACCCAGAACAGAAATAGTCTGAAGTCACCAAAAAAAAAAAAGTTAATTTCCTTCTGAATACCAATCCGGGCACCCACCTTTAAAGTAGATGTAATTCACCAGAATCACCTTTGTGAGCGGGTCAAGGTCCTTGAACAAGTCCTCAATTTTCCCCTGGGTTTTATTCTTCACATAGTCGTTTATTAGACTCTTGGCAGCTTCAGGATCCCTGAAGTTGGTCGAGAAGGCCTGGGAGGCGTACAGCGCCCGGGCATCTTCCCTGAACTTGTCCAGCAGCTTCAGCTCCTCCTGCACAAACATGGCGTTGCCCACGCTCAGCCGCAGCTCACTGCTAGGTCGATTGAATGTCTGCAGGAGGTGCTGGAAACCCTGGTGGATTTCTGTCTCCGGGGTCTCTGTGAGGTTGAACTTGAGACCTTCCAGGATCTCCGTCAGGGTGGAGCCACGAGCCCCCAGGGATAGGAAGGCCAAGGCTATGGAGATGCTCAGAGGGGAGAAGATGACATTCTTATTGGGGTTCTTCAAAGCCAACTGCTTATACAGGCTGAAGGCAAAGTCGGTGTTGCTGGAGGCTAATGTGTGGTCATCCTCAGATGCCCCTTTGTGCTGTTTTACAGGGGTCACATTCTCTGGGAAGCAGTGGACACTGGAGCAGAGTCCAGCCACCAGGAGTCCCAGAGCCAGGAGTGGGGACATTCTCTCTGCCCTCATGTCTGAAAAACAAAGCTCCTTTAAGTCTCCATGTGTCAGATGATGTCCCAACCCCCACCCCGTCCCCCATGGTCTCTGTTCTCTTGGACCTGTTGCTCTGTGACCTCCCAGGGGTAGGCAGCCTTCTGGGCTCTCAACACACACTAGGAGGCTCTGGGCTCCCGCTCCCCCTTTGACCAAGTGCTGTGATTGGTACCAATTTCCCCGGTGGAGAGACTGGGCACAGAGGGGAAGGGGCTTTTCCAAGGTCTCACAGCAAGCTGTGGAGGAGTGAGGGGGAGGAGCCTGGGGTGCCTGGCTCCAGGGTGGGGAAGCTGCTGATGGGTGTGAGGTGCTGGCCAGTGAGAACCCATCTCCCTCCCGGGAGCTGACACCATCAGAGGGGCCTGGGAAGCCAGGTTCCTTTCCCACCGTGCCCCTCTCTGTCCCCCCAAGAAGGAGCCCTGCGCTCATCAGAGGACACTGCACCTCTCCCCGCCTCTGAGGACAAGGGTGTGACCTCAGGGAGGTCCTTCCGTTGAGGTGCCTGCTCACAGTGAGGGTTCAGGAGAGAGGCCGCGCAGGCAGCGGGCACCGTGCCGGAGCCTGGCTGCCCTGAGCAGGGCTGGTGCAAAGAACGAGGAAGCTAGAGTGTTCTTCTCAGCCTGTGCTATGTGGCCACATTGAAGGTGTTTCCATCAAGAACCTGGAAAGGCCTCCTAGTGGGGAGAAGCAGGTGACCTCAGAGTCTCAGACCTGGTCGAGTATTTCGTTTGGACCACTTGTGAGTGCTGTGTGGTGACGAGCAGTGACTGAACCTCTCTGATCCTCAGTTCCCACCTCCGTCCAACATGTGGAATGGCTCAGGTGATGGACAGGATGAAGGTGCTGGGCTCCTAAGAGGAGTTCCAGACGTGTCACCCCCTCCACGAGCGACACTTTCTAAGACTCAACAAGTCAGACTGTGATTCCCAGGGGACAGAGGACCAAGCTACTGCCCAGAAGCCTCAGGAGAGACTGAGGTCAAAGCTGGTGACCTCAGCAAAGAGGGCTGTTTCCCTTCAGCCTCTGCCCCTCATCTCAGAAGAGAGAGAGCTGCTGGGGTGGGAGGGGGGACGGGGAGAGACACAAGAGGCAGAGGAGGGGAGGAGACTGGAGGGGAGAGGAGGAGGGGGTGTAGGGGAGGAAGTCTTGTCCAGGGACGGGGGAAAAGGCCTTCACAGAAGCCTGGGGAGAGAGGTGGTCAATTGCCTAAACTCTCAGCTTACTCAGGAGTGATACAAGGGTTTTTTCCAAATGAGTTAACCGTTTTCTTCCAAAACTATTCCTGGAGTATTCATTTGTTCTGGTTGCAGGGTTGTCTCTGCTTCTGAGTGGTTTGTCTTCTCAGTGCTGGACAGACTCAGCTCCTGTCTGCTTGCCAGGGTCTCTGGAGGGACACTGGAGCCCAGGAAACCCCCTGGAGACTCCGCAGCCTCTGCCCAGAGGGACCCACTTCTCTGATTCTGTCCGCAGGGCTCTCTGAGAGCAGCGCCCTGTGCCAGGCAAGGAGACGCAACTCAGGGCCTTGGCGCAGCTCTGACCTGACGCTGGATGCACAGCTTGATGGATGCACAGCTGGCTCGAATCACAACCCCAAAAACTCAAAAGCAGAAATGCCCCCAGAAGCCCTGGTGGCACGTCCCTCCCTTTGCAGGATGAACACTGAGACCCTGAGAGAGGACTGACCTTCAGAGGTCTCAGAACTCTCCAGGATCGGACACACATCCTCCTGCCTCCCTCCTGCCTCAGGTTCTACCAACCCCTGACCAAGGCCAGAACCACCCTGGGAAAGGCGTCCCTTGGCTCCCAGTGTGGGAGCATCACGGATTACCTGCCTGTGAGAGCGGGATGTGGACAGTGGATCCAGAGCCTGCCCAGATAATGGAGTTTCGTGACTTTCTCTATTTATCCTGCAAAGACCTCTTCTGTGGCTTACGAAATGTAGGAGGGAACAAGACCTCAGACTGGAAATGGACAGATGAACATTTCTGGTAACAGGATTTACTAGGTCTACACAAACAATCTAGTTACCGAAATAGGTTGTTTTTTCCCTTAAAAATTAGCCAGTAAATAAACCCACAAAAAATTTTTTCCCATGTTAGAATTTTCTTCTGTTTATGAAATACTCACTGAGGAACATGTCACAACTCAGCAAACATCAAATAGAACACTGAGAACTACTCCAAATTATTGTTCTTTTTAAAGAGTTATTGACTCTTATTAGTGCTTTATTCTCAGTCTGATATCCTCTTTAAGGACCATGGAGAAACCCCGAAAATGTAGAGAAGTGCCTGTAAAATATTTCCCAGAATGCTATCGCCCAGGGAAATCCAAGTTAACATTGGCTTGTGTTTCTTTATTAGTCACTTTTCTTTGAAGTGTGTGTGTGTGTGTGTGTGTGTGTGTGTGCCCGCGCATGCACGCGCATTTGCTTATGTGATAGGACATGATTTTAAAATGTGATACACTATTTGTTTAGAGCTTGAATTGCAAGTTCAAGCACTCCTCCCCCATTCCCACAGAAGCGTTGTGAGCCTGAGGTCCCCAAAGAGTGTCAGGAGTACAAGTGTCCGGGGCCTCTGGTCTCCAGCACCATCTGTTTGGGGGACCTGCAGTGACTTGGACATCGCCCTGCTGTCCTTCACTAATGGTTCACCCTAGGAGCTAATTGTCCTCCCTTCTTGCCTTTGAGGTCTGCTTAGCTGTCTCAATGAGAAAATTTCAGGTATTTCCTGGGATCAGGGGAAAAACCTGTGCCTTCATCCATCATAGTCACATCCCTCCAGCCATGACAATCCCTGGCAATCCCTGCCAGACTTCTGGGGACCTCTGGGGTTCTACCAGCCATAGTTTGCAAACCACTGACTTAGTGATGTTGGGCTTCCCCGATGGTTCAGCAGGAATAGAATTTGCCTTTGATGCAGGACACCAGGGTTCAACCCCTAGGTCGGGAAGGATCCCTGGAGCAGGAAATGGCACCCCATTCCAGTATTCTTGCCTGGAAAATCCCATGAACAAAAGAACACAGCAGGCAAAGGTCCAGAGAGGTTGCAAAGAGGTGGACACGACTGAGCATGACGATGGCTTTGAGGTGAAGGTATGGCTTTGGCATGAGGTAAGCTTCTATCCAGAAAGTACTGCTTACCAGCTATGTGATCCCATGATATTTATTGAAAATCTGTGGACTTTAATCTCTTTATCTCTAAAATGCAGATAAGAAAGTTTCCCTGACTGGAAAGAGGTGGGGGAGGTGTGTCTATGAAGAGTTAGTCAAATAACACTACGTGTAAGCTCTCAGTTCAGTTCAGTTCAGTTGCTCAGTTGTGTCCAACTCTTTGAGACCCCATGGACTACAGCACGCCAGGCCTTCCTGTCCATCACCAACTCCCAGAGTTTATTCAAACTTATGTGCCTTGAGTCGGTGATGCCATCCAACCATCTCATCCTCTGTCGTCCCCTTCTCCTCTCGCCTTCAATCTTTCCCAGCATCAGGGGTTTTTCAAATGATTCAGCTCTTTGCATCAGGTGGACAAAGTATTGGAGTTTCAGCTTCAGCATCAGTCCTTCCCATGAACATTCAGGACTGATCTCCTCTAGGATGGACTGCTTGGATCTCCTTGCAGTCCAAGGGACTCTCAAGAGTCTTCTCCAACACCACAGTTCAGAAGCATCAAATCTTCAGCACTCGGCTTTCTTTATAGTCCAACTCTCACATCCATACATGACTACTGGAAAAACCATAGCCTTGACTAGATGGACCTTTGCTGGCAAGTAATGTTTCTGCTTTTTAATATGCTGTCTAGGTTGGTCATAACTTTTCTTTTCAGTCTTTTCATTCCTTTGCCTTCCATGTCCTTTCAGTCTCCACTAATTTCCAGAATTGACTGTATATTTTGAAGTTACAGAGAATACCAAAGAAAAGAGTGGCGAAAACAAGACTACAGGTTATTTTTCTCTTGAAAGTCCTGATATTTTAAGCAGTGGGTTGACATGTTGATTCCAATTTGCCAGGGACTCAGGCTGCTTCTATTCTTCATGATTTTTGCCAGGTCCCAGAGGGCTCATTGGCACATCCACCTTCCATTTAATGGGAGTCAAGAGGGGAAGCTGACTTGAAACTCAACATTCAAAAAACTTAGATCACAGCATCTAGTCTCATCACTTCATGGCAAATAGAAGGAGAAATAGTCACAGAATCAATGACAGATATTATTTTCTTGGCCTCCAAATCACTGTGGACAGTGACTGGTGGTGGTTTATTCGGAAGTTGTGTCCGACTCTTGTGAGCCCAAAGATTGTAGCCTGCCAGGCTCCTCTGCCCATGGGGTTCTCCAGGGAAGAATACTGGAGTGGATTGCTATTTCCATCATCAGGATGTCAACTAAAAAAAGATAAACAACTTGAGAGTTGTGAGCTAAGTTTTATTTGGGGCAAAATGAGGCCTGCACCCCTGGAGGCAGCATCTCAGACACCTCTGAATGGTCAATATATAAGGTTTTGGTGAAGGGGGAGTTCAACACCATGAAGCACTCACTTTACAAAAGGTTTTCGTTAGTCATGAGGCTGTGATGTCAACTTGAAGGGATTTAGTGCTTCTCTAGATATGAGGAGATTCAAGGATTGAGATAGTAAAATCTATTCATAAAAACAGTTCAGTTCAGTTCAGTCGCTCAGTCATGTCCGACTCTTTGCGACCCCATGAATTGCAACACGCCAGGCCTCCCTGTCCATCACCAACTCCCAGAGTTTACTCAAACTCAAGACCATCGAGTTGATGGTGCCACCCAGCCATTACATCCTCTGTCATCCCCTTCTCCTCCTATCCCCAATCCTTCCCAGCATTAGGGTCTTTTCCAATGAGTCAACTCTTCGCATGAGGTGGCCAAAGTATTGGAGTTTCAGCTTCAGCATCAGTCCTTCCAATAAACACCCAGCACTGATCTCCTTTAGAATGGACTGGTTGG